TAGAACATCTGTACAGATACAGCTCATTTGTTATACATGCCAAACTGGTGCATTCTGATTCCATGCAAAATACTCCAATATGTTAAGACTTAACACATAAGAAACACATGCAGTATAAATTATACCCAGCAACTTTTCTGCAATTACCTCTCCATACTGATTTTCTGTAACTTTGGACCTTAGGGAATCAACTAACAAGTAATTCAGCTGTTGAATAGCTGAAGTGCTTTCTTGATATTTCTATGTGTTTCTCTGAACAGCTGGCTGCTGCCATAACGGTCTACAGTCAATTTAGCACTTCCAACCTTCACTTGTAGAGTAGGAGTACAGATATTTCTCTTGACTGATCCAAATTTAAGCTTGTGTTGACCCTACGTTCACTTCCTTACTGCTAGCCCTGACCTTGTCATGTAGAGAGCCCACTTTGGGCCACACATTTATTAGTTGGAGCTGTAACCTGTGCATTACTTGTTCCAACAATTGTATTAAAAGGAAGGGTCAGGTCTGCCTGCATCTGGAATTCAAGAGAAAGACATTTTTTAAAACATATTATACATTTTGCTGACAAATTGCCTTTTGATTAAATAACTCAACTGGCTATGGTCAGGGCAAAGTCTTCATTTTTCTCACTATGAACATATTGTTATGTTATGTTAATGTTATGTTAATGTTTAAAGCTATTCTGCTCCTTCCATTGGTTGGTCGTGCTCTACTACTTGTCAACTAACCAGAAATCATAACCACCATGGAGATGTAAAATCATTAAAGTTGAACTTCATCCTCCAGAAAAAAAAAAAAAAAAGGATCACATACTGGATATTAATCGCCATAAGTAGTTTCTTTGCTGTGGCTTAAAAAAGTGTTTATTGCTCTGACTAGAACTGTATCTTTATGCAATTAGAATTAGATTTATTCAAGAGATGTTTCCTTCCCCTTACTGTGCTAAACAGAGTGCAAAAGCAATCAGCATAGTTTAGTAACTCTTGCAGTATTACAGAACTATAATCTCCCTGCAGAAACTCCTACACACTGGAACTGCTGTGTGTAGTATCTGTACAACAGGAGGTAGGAGTACAAAGCAAAATGCAATATGTCTATTAGACCTGTGTATCTGTTATCACCATAATAATTCAATTTAACATCATATCCTTGAATTTTCCTTAACTTAATGCTGATCACCAAGAGATTGGAGATCATGCTTACAAATGATTTCCTAATTATGTGACTCAGTTCAGTTGGAATGGGTCAAGTTCTTCAGACAGGTAGCACCCTGGGTATGGCCTATACCAGGACTAGACAAACACTGTCCCTCCAGCAGTGGTGAAACTACAAATACCATCATTCATCTGCCTCTGGAAGCCATGCCTGTGGCTGTCAGAATCTTGCAATGTCTAATGTGATCTGTAGTTGTACCACAGCAGGAGGGCTAGAGTTTGCCTACCCTGCCAATTCTATACTGATTTACAATAATTTCTTCTAGCAAATTTAAACATGTATAGCTTGCTCTATATGGTAAGGTCCTCAGACTACTGCATCGGGCAGACCAAGAGGACTGCACAACTTAGAGGATTTCCCCCAAAATTTTAATCTTTTATTTGACTGGGCCTCCCACATTTTCTTCAACAGTGTGACCACCGTGCTACTTTTGTTCAAAGTGTCTGGTCAATGAGTCACTGCTCGATGGTTTCTTATACAAAATCACTAAAGGAAAAAGGAACTTGTGGAACCTGCTATTGCTATCCATCACAACCATACATGCTGAGATTAGTGTATCTAATCCAACCTCCCCAAAAATCCTGCGATTTACTCTTCTGCCTCAATTAAATCAGACAGTTGTCCAAATCCTTCCCGAGTACAGTGTGGCTCTGCGCCGTCAGCATATAGCAGGCAATAGCTGGCTATTTTCTGAGTTTGGGTCACAGGAGTACAATAGTAAATGTATTCCTGGGACTCAAAAGAGAACTAAAGACAAACTTCTCTTTTAAATAGATTGTTTATTACAAAATATACAGCTTAATACACAAATAGTGAAAAAGGGCCGCTTTATGTGCTATGTACATGGGATCTTATTAAAATGTAGTGCTCAGCAAATATTGAGTAAGAATTGGATGCTGTTCAAAGACAGCTATACAGCTAAAAAAAAACACATCTTTAGCAGCTGCATTGCTACTAGCGTGGAATCTTTGTCAGTTTAATAAAAACAGATAGTCATGTAAGTTCCTATTGGATGTCTCTGTGTGGTAAACTAAGTACTCTTAAATAGTCCCCACTTTAAAACATTCTGGCATGAAAACGTACAGTGCATGTCACCATAGAATTGTTGCATCACGTAACTATATGTATTTCAAGATTGTTGAGATCCATCCATAATCAAATGTTCCACTTCCATACATGGGGTTAAAAGGTGTATGACCACAATTGCAGACATTCTTTTATCTGTATAAGGTGCACCAAGAACTTTATTTGTCGAAGGGGTAATACAAGAGTCACTGCAAATAACTGATGAATCACTGCATCTAGTAATCCAATGTTTGTGTGTGACAAAATTCTTATCCACTACTGTAGCTTTCATCGTTATCAAAAGGACCATGAATCTACTGTTAAGCCCATTCATATTTAATGCTTTTACAATAACTAATTAGTTACTCATCTTGAGTTTCTTTTTGAAACCTAATGAAAAGAAAAGCTAGCCTGGTCTTGTTTATTACAACTTCCACAGTCTACCAGAAAAAGATGACTTCACTTTGAATTTATGTGTAACCCTTTTTAACACTGGTTATAAATATAAATGCAACAAGATGGAAATCCATTATGACTTTAGACATTTTTGACAATTTCTAAAAGGTAATTTTAGCTAAACCAATACTTAAAGTTTAAAAACATGCCCAAAGGTTGAATTGTCTACTGAATTCTCATTATCTCGAATATCTTTGCTCGCTATTGAAACTATTATATACAGTAAAGGGGCCTGACTTGCATGCTTAGCACACCATTGGCTTACACACGTAACTGTACAGGATAGGGGTGAATAAAACCCATTGCCTTGTGAATGCTCAATGGTTCGGAAATATATAAAAAATAAATACTTACAGTCCGTCCTGAGGAAGTTGTTCAACAGCTGGAAAAGTGGAAAGCTTTGCCAGGAATCTGGAAGTTGTGCTTCTAGTGCAGAGTTCATATCAACGGAAAACAGTGACCAAAATATTTCCGCATGCTCCGCTATCAGATCTGGCCACCAGGAAAAGGCCTATGTACAGAACAAACAACAAAAGTTACAGAAATAACTTGATTCAGTGGGGCTGATTTACTAAAGGCAAAAAGACTGTTTTCTTTCAGGGGAATTTGCACTTTGCAGGGGAAGTTTCCCCTTAGTTTAGTGAATGAGGTGAAACTCTGCTGATTTCCATCGTCCCAATCATGTGCTAACAAGGATGCTGTTTTTTTTATTTTCCTTGCTCCTGAGTGGGTATTCTTTGTAATTTCACCATATTCACTAAGCTGGTTGAGTATGGTCAACTGTGTCACCTGCTCAGGTAAGATTGTTCAGTTTTAGATCCCATTCAGCTTAGAATGTCATTCCTTCAGCTATACCAGTGCAGTTTATGCAAATAGTCTATAAAATGAAATGTATGAAAAACCTTCTGCATTCATTTGGTGGGATCTTCTCATAGTTGCTGTAACAGGTGAGTCAGGTGAGCCGACTTAGGGTCTCAAGTGTGGAACCCACCACCTGAGTTCACGAAAGTCCATGGTTCATGTTACACTCGTACATAGGGTGTAACATGAAACACAGACACATTCCCCAGAACTGCCCTCTCTTATACTAGAATTACAGGGTTCTTCTCCCTGCAAGATTCTGCATCGTTCATTCACAAAAGCAATCACAGGATCTTTGAATCAAAACACTGTCACCTCAGCAGAGGGATTTGTAGATCTCAATGGCGTAAAAGTGTGGTGGCGTCACTGCACTTGTAGTCCATTGACTACTTCCTCCAGTCTGATAACATCGGTATAGACCTAGAGCTGGGGGAAAAGCCTGCAGAAGTCTGATCATGGTCACAATGCTTTGCAGGCTTAAATGAAAAAAATGAGTAAATGCAATTTATTTTTCTTCCATTATGTGTGTATTCATTTATTATTGTTTTTGAAAAGATAGACTATGCCTTTAAATTAAAGGTTCAAAAAGTTAAATAGACCCTGAAAACATAACAAATTCAAATTGGATATGAACTCTGTTTTACAGGGAACATCTAGAAAAGTGTTTAGTTGTGCCTAAGCACTACCCTGAATATTTTTAACTTGAATTCCTCCTAAAAAAGCAACAATGCACTTCCTGTGCCAAAATCGCAGCCACGCTAGAGAAATAAAAAAAATGCATAAAAATCTGGTTTCAGCCATCAATGTAAACAATAAAAAACTTTTCTCTTGCTAAGTGAAGGGAACAGAAGGTGCGGTTCTGAAAATGTGTTTTTTTACCCTTGGCGACATTGCCCTTTAATCACAAGAATGCTGAGAACACAGCTCAGTGATCACAGTCAGGTCATTTTAGACACCCCATTTTTTCTAGCTAAGAGTCCACACAGGGCAGTAGAACTATTACTTTGTTTATCTCGGTGAACTTTTATGCCTTGTTCACATGGGCTTGTAAAATAGATGTGTGTACAGAAAGCATTTGTGAAGACTTCAGTAATCTTTTGCAAAGCATGTGCAAAGAATTCTGCAACCTTTGGCCAGCTATTTTGAAGCCTTTAAAGAACTCCTCATTTCCAATTGTAAAATAATAAACACAGATCCTAACCACCTGCCGTCCGGCCATTGTAATTAAATTAAACAGCGGCTTCTTGAATGCGGGTGGGCAGGCACGAGCGGAAATTCTATTTGAAATGTAAACAGCCAGCGATGGCTGTTTACATAAAAGCATTTCCGGCGTCTGTAGAGACAGTAAATCGCTTGTGTAATGCGTGCGGGTGTGTGCCCACCCCGTTTCCGTCACAAGCCCTGCTGTGCCCGGTGCAAACCGGGACTGGCATGGCGGCTCTGTCACTGGAGATCAGACCAGCGCGCAATTTTAAGGCTTGCTGTGTTTGGTGTCGGTTTACCCGACGTGATCCCATCTTTCATATTTTACCAAAAAAAGGGTAAGAAGAAATGTTTCATAACATAACTTAGGGAAAACATTTTTTTTCCAAAATTTTCAGTAGTTTTTTCGTTATATAGTAAAAAAATGAAAAACTAACCCCAGTGGTGATTAAATACCACCAAAAGAAAGCTCTATGAGACCCCCCAAAAAAGGAATACAAATCATTGCAGGACACCATTGCATGATTGAATAAATGTCGAAGTACCGCAGCGCTGAATACTGAAAATGGCCTGGACAGGAAGAGGGTGCAAACACTCTGGTCTTCAAGTGGTTAATGGGAGTGCTGACTGTCCCTTTATAAAAAGGCTGCTAGTAGACTTTCAACAAGTTTCAAGTTGTGCTGAAACATGCGCACTGGCAGTAGCCACACATTGACCCTTTTTGATATTTGCAAGATTTTTAATCTCCTAAGGTCCCTTATGGTCAAAAGATGCTTGATGGCTGCACACATGAACTTATTGGTTTTTATTATACTTTGGATTTTGATTATAATATTCATGTAAGTCAGCACTATATAATATATATAGGTGATTGTTAAATGTACTATAGATTGGAAACGGCAATTTTTCTAATGCATTATACAGGTGAAACTCGAATAATTAGAATATCGTGCAAAGTTCATTTATTTCACTAATGCAACTTAAAAGGTGAAACTAATATATGAAATAGACTCATTACATGAAAAGCAAGATAATTCAAGCCGTGATTTGTCATAATTGTGATGATTATGGCTTACAGCTCATGAAAACCCCAAATCCACAACCTCAAAAAAGTAGATTATTACATGCAATCAATAAAACAAGGATTGTACATAGAACAATATCAGACCTCTGAAAAGTACAAGCATGCATATGTACTCAGTACTTGGTTTGGGCCCCTTTTGCAGCACTTACTGCAATTACTTTTGCACGATATTCTAATTATTCGAGTTTCACCTGTACATGTCCACCTCGTTCCTGAGGAAGTGAACTTTGTTCACAAAATGTGTTGAACTCCACTAGCACTATAGAGATGTGTGAAATGCTATTTTCATCTATTATACTATGATATAGTTTTGGGCTGAAGTGGAATAAGGGATTGCATTTATATTGTGTTTTATTGGTAAACATTTTTAACATTTTGAATAAAATTGATTTTTAACCATCAATGATAACTATGTGCCTTAAAAGCCCCAGAGAATATAGTTAAACATGTAATGTTGAAGCCCACTGAAGTGTGCTAGCAGCACTCCCAATTACATCTTTATAAACTGGAGATGAATGGTACTTTGCAGGCTTTAACAAAGCTTGCTTAAATCGCTGAAAATACTTTATAAAAGGTTGCTGCACTGCCTTCATACAAGCTGAAGTCTGTGTGAGCAAGACCTGCAATCTCAGTTTATTGTAGAATGCAATTAAGACTTTTTCTTTGAATCTGTTGTGCAGGGTTACCCATTACTATGTTTTACCCCCTTCGATCAAGATATATTGAACTGTATTTTCTTTCATTCCCATTTGAGGTGGCTATGGGGCATTCTTACTATAAAGGTCATCAACAGAACATCATCAGATTCAGGACTGTTATAGTTTGTAGATTCTGACATAGTTAAATTAGTAGCAGGAAAGTGCTGCTCCCACCTCTCCTGTTGGGTTGGAGAAAGTTTAGAAAGACTTGCACTTTGAAAAGAAAAAAAAGAGAACCCCTTAGTTTAAAACTGGCATGGACAGCAGACCCCAGGTAAACCTACTTTTTAATAATTTCTGGTAATAATATGTAGCCTACTATTACAGATTAGACTAGGACTGCATAATACAGAGACAATTTGATGTAGAGTGCAACTTTCATATATATTTGCATAGGTATGCAAATCTCATCTATTTTAAATAGGCAATACACCATGCCGATAAGGTGAAGTTGTTTGCATAAGTATTCACCCCATGAACGTTTCCAAATGATAAAGTGATACAACTTGGACTGTATGTTACTTAAATACACAAGAGAGACCTTTTTTTCAAGTGGGAAAAACTCTTCCAAATTCAAAATTAACAGTCTAAAAAAAACCCAAAAAACTTAATTGCAGTATTAAGTATTTGCTTCCTTTGCTGTAAAAAATTCTAAATAAGTTTATAAGTGAATACTTATGTAAACATGCTCTATATATCTTAATGGATAATTAATCATTTGCTTGAAAAAGGCACTAAGCACACCACACTAAAGGTGGGAAAACAAAAGTGCATAACATTTCCCCCCGATAATGGGATACAGAGGTTTTCAGTAAATCATTAAAAAAGGCTAAACTTTTTTTTTTTTGTCCAGCATTGGGTAGAACTCTTTTGAAGTTGAACTCCAGGCAAATAAACACAATCAAATCCAGGAGCATATTCAATATACATATTTTCATTTGGTTTTAAATTACCCTTGTATAATAACCTGATTTTTTTATATATTAGATTCATGTAATCTCATATAAAGCAGGGTTATGAGAGGGAAGGGTAGTGCTGTTATTTCCTAAGTCTCTACTACATTACAGTGTTGTCGAGCGGACAGTGGAAACATGCGTATAGGATAAGAGGGCAGAGTGATGACCTCATCACTGATGTGACATGATGTTCCTTTTATAATCACTTAGCATGCTTGGTGTTGGTTATTAAAATACAGACTGGCATGGCTGTGTAAATCAAGGACAAGATGAGGAGGATTCCAAACCATTTGACAGGTAAAACAGTTCACATATATTTATTTTAACTTTGAATGTATCAGTCTGCATGGAGTTTAGCTTTATTTAAAAGATAACCTTGAGTCACATACCTCTTTACCCTATGGAAATTCCCAAAAGTGTTGCAAAGTGTTGCAAAACAAAAAAGAGAGGTTTGAAAAATTAAACCAGTAACATGCCTTACAACGAATGTACAAACATAAGGTATAAGCAGTTGAATATAAAAAGATGACTATTAAACTTCTTAAGACTTTTACGTCCAGGGGTCAAAATGCTGAAATTCTAGTGTGCATCAAATTGCTCAATAATTTTTTTTATTGACTTTCCTACCAAAATTATTTTCACACCTTTTTAAGCACATATTTGATCTTAATTTTGTACTAAATATATTTTTTTAATTAAGCAGAGAAATAGACAAAAATGTAAAAAAAATAGATTTCTGTTATGTTTAAAGGGGAATGTATTTTGTACAACCAATGCTATACCAAATATGTAAAATGTATAAAGGCATTTTTCAGTACTGTACTCTCAGTTCAGTGGCTGTAATTCAATGAGATGAAAAAGAGTCCTAAAAAAATAATTGACAACCCTATCCAACTAAAACTGCTTCAATTATAACACTAATCTGATATCCAAATAACCACCTTCTATTTTCGAATACTGTTACATTGTGATTGTGTCACACAGTTTTCTTCTCCTCACATCTGTAGGAGGAGATAAAATTTGACAAGCAGCAGGAAAACTTTATTTACACACTTTCCATACCTATGACCTGCTCTATGGTCTTTGATCAGCATGATTGAGTAATCATGATCTCATAATCAGTAACAGAGTAGGTTACCATTCACACTGCTGGTTTCCCAATGGTACTATTCAGTGTAACCTCATGCTACAACATGGCCAGGGCAGTCCCCTAAAATTGATATAATCTTCAATGTAGGAATACTTTTGCCTTTATAGCATATACACAGTATATATAACATACAGTATATGCAATATAGTTTTATTGATTGGTACAAATTCTCTCTTCAGTATTTTAATATAAACTTGCCATTTTATTACATGAAATTACTTTTTTAGGCTAAAGTGCCGTAATTCATCCAATTCAAATTTACATTTGTTTTTTTATTAGATTGGTTGTCATAGGTTTTTGCTATCTGCATGCTTAAAGGCTCTTTGCTTACATTTGCAAAACAAACCAATATGAATATATATATATATA